ACACAGGTGTCGTCCTTGGCATAAGCCGTTCGGATCAAATCCGAAAAAATGACGAAGTCACGGTCGTTACATGAGCCAGCTCATAATCCGGCCTGCGCGACAGCGCGTCCGCAAGGACATTCTGCCTGCCAGGCTTGTACTTCACCTCGAAGTTGTACTCCGCGAAGAAGGACAGCCAATGGGCCATCCTTTGCGAGAGGTGAGGCGACTGAGTCGCAGTGCGTAACGATGCATGATCCGTGTAAATCACGAACGGCTGAGAGCCCAACAGGTGCACCCTGAACTTGACGAGCGCATACTTCATCGCAAGTAGCTCTTTGTCATGGACAGGATAGTTCTTCTCCGCAGCCTTCTGCTGGCGAAATTCGAACGCCACCACGCGCTCGCGTCCCTCGGCGTCTGCTTGCAGCAGTGCACAGCCGATGGCAAAGTTCGAGGCGTCACAGACGACACTAAACGGACGAGCGTGGTCTGGCAGAGCCAGAATAGGCGCATGAAGGAGACTGTCCTTAATGACCGCGAACGCATCTTGATGCTCGGTGTTTCAACACCACTCCGCATCCTTCTTTAGGAGGTTGGAGAGTGGCCGAGCCATCTCAGCGTAGTTATCGCTGTACTTGTGCAAGTAATTGGCCAAGCCAAGCCACTTGCGAAGATCCTTCTGGTTCTTGGGAACCGGCCAGTCAACAATGGCCTTGACCTTGACCGGGTCGGCCCTCAGGCCACGCTTCCCGATGAAGCACCCTAAGAAAAGGATGTCTTCCGCTCCGAAGATGCATTTGTCAATGTTGGCGTACAACTTGTATTGACGCATGCATTCGAGCACAGCACGCAGGTGCTCCACATGGTTCTCCATATCAGTCTTTTCGTGCTCCGCACGACTGTGGACAAAGATGTTATCGAAGTACGTTTGCGCGTACGCCCGATGGGGCCTGAAGAGCTGCGTCACAAGACGAATAAACGTCGCTGGCGCGTTCGAAAGCCCTTGGGGTATCACCAACCACTCCCAGAGCATGCCGCTCGGAGTACTCACCGCAGTGACAGGAATGTCGCTCGTCCTCATGAGCAATTGGTAATATCCATCGACCAAGTCGAGCGCACTGTACATCGTACATCCTGTCATGTTGTTCTGAAGAACATCCTTCCGAGGAATCGGCGTCTGCGCCGGAATGGTAGCGGCAGTCAGCTTGTTGAAAGCATGCACGATACGCCACTTGCCATTCGGCTTTCTGACACAGAATGTCGGCGTAGAGTGTGGAGACTTACTCTCACGCACCATGCCCGCCTCGTGCTTCGCACGGAAGAACGCGTCAATGACGTCACACGGCTCCTTCGGCAAGGGCCACAGCCTCGTCACGCAGTACTTCGTTCCCGGAACGAGATCGATTTCGTGTCGAACACCTCGATCCGGAGGTAGCCCCGAGGGCGGCTCCTTCGAATCCACGTCCTGGTAATCATTTACCACTTGATGCAAGGGATCCGACGGGTCCTTCAGGATCGCCGATCCGCTCCGCGCATTCAGCGCCGTCTTGGTGTCTTCCAGGACAGCTTCATCCAGAAGCGAGGACGAGTTCAACTCTTCTTCGGGTCGTATGACCACTACCTCAGCCAAGTCTCCAGCCTTCAAGGCTTCGCCGAACTCGGCCAAGGACATCTCGTCCAGCTCCAGGAGAGCAGACAGGGAGGGCAAGTCGTCGAGGTTGATACCTCCGTCGACGTCGCCCGTCTCTCCATTCACGAGTGTATAGAGCTGCTCGCTCTCGCGTGGAGCCTCATCGCTCGACACGCCCTTCTCGACTCGTGAGATCTCAGACGCCTTGCGTCTCGCAGCCAGTGCTTTGCGGTGCTGCCTCCTCTTTATGGACACCGTCCGCCCTGAAGAGCCCCGTGATTTCGCGTGCGTCTTGACGCCAGGTGTCACCACCTCGTTCAGCTCCAGGGGAGCCCCAGTGTCTTTACCGACACTCAGCGAAGAGCTGCACGATCCGCAGCCTCCACTCAGTGGATTATGTGCCACTCCACGACCTTCATCCGGGCAAAGCCCCTTGTTCTTCGGCATCGTGCCGACCGCGCTGTGGCTAGCACGCAGCAGGGCGTCGCCCTCAGACGCACGCCCGCTCAGCGGAATTAGTGCCGCTCCACATCCTTGATCCGGGCAACGCCCATCTTCACTCGACTTCCTGTCGACCGCGCCTTCATCGGCACACAGCAGGGCGTCGCCCTCAGACGCACGCCCGCTCAGCGGAATTAGTGCCGCTCCACATCCTTGATCCGGGCAACGCCCATCTTCACTCGACTTCCTGTCGACCGCGCCTTCATCGGCACACAGCAGGGCGTCGCCCTCAGACGCACGCCCGCTCAGCGGAATTAGTGCCGCTCCACATCCTTGATCCGGGCAACGCCCATCTTCACTCGACTTCCTGTCGACCGCGCCTTCATCGGCACACAGCAGGGCGTCGCCCTCAGACGCACGCCCGCTCAGCGGAATTAGTGCCGCTCCACATCCTTCAACATCCGGGCCGCGCCCATGGCTCCTCGGCTTCATGCCGACCTTGTCTTCTCTTGAATACAGCAGGGCGTCACCCTCAGACGCACACCCGCTCAGCGGAATTCGTGCCGCTCCACCTGCCGTCCGCGAGCCACGCTCGGAACGCTACACTCAGTGTCCACCAACTCGGAGACTCCGATGTCCAGCACATTGACCGACTCGGTCCAGTGCTCGCGCCAGAAGCGCTTCTGCTTCCTAGCAGAGGTGGGTTCATGACTCGCCAATGCTCCGCCAGGAGAGAAGTGCGTAGCACCAAGGGTCTTCGACCTCCAATCGATCCAAGGCTCATGGCGTTCCAGCCACGCCATACCAAGGATGAGATCATATCTCGAATCGAGTTCTAAGACCAGACAGCGTTCCACGCTATCAAAATCCAAAAACTTCACGCCCAGGTCCACAGGGACCTTAGGCACCGTGACACGAGTGCCCGTCGCGAGACTAACAGTGACGATGTCACTCCCGCGCTAGGCTACCAGCGCCTCAGAATAAAGCTGACTTCCGTCCATCGTAGAACGCCGGGCGTAGTTACCCGACGCTCCCGAATCGATCAAAATCGTCCATGGCTTGGTGAAGCCCTTCACACAAGCTTGGACAACTAGCAAGCCCGGCTTGCATACACGTTCCGTGTTAGAGAGTACGGCTCTCTTCGGGTCTAAGTCCTGTCGACCTCCACCTCGCCGAGGCTCAATAGAACTTAGTTCTTCCCCAGTTGGCCGCCCCGCGCCTACTGGGACTTCTCGTTTCCCTGAGACAAACCAGAGCCCTGGCTCGAACTCGAAGAGCGGCTTGACGAAGCCTGGCGCTGATGACGCAGCGGACACCCAGCACGAAGGTGACGGGTGTCACGACAGATGAAGCATCTGCGGATACCGCGACGCTGCTCAGCAGCACGAAGCTCGGCTTCTTCGTCTTCAGCATAACTGAGGTCCATGGGTTCCGGACCACTCGGCGCGCTAGCGTAAGACGCATTCCACCCAAGTCTTGACGACTTAAAGTTGTGTTCCGCATTCAATGCGACGCTCACAGCCTCTTCAAAAGAGCTCGGGTGGGTTCGGAACACCTCCGTCCTGGCAACGCCAGTGCGAAGGCCCTCCATGAACACCGTAACGGTGACTGCTTTCGGCATTGGTTCCGCAGACATGCCAGCAATGAGAGTTCTCAACTCTTGGACATAGTCCACCACCTCCTTCTTGCTCTGCCTGGTGGCCAGAAAGCGCGAGCGCACGCGATACGCCTCGTTAGGTGGGGCAAACACTCGGGACAATTGCTGTTTCAGCTGGTCCCACGTCGGGAAGGCCACCTCGACCGACGTCCCGGACGTTAGTGCCCACTCTCTCACTCGCCCACCGAGCTTCGAGATAGCTAGTGCCACGCGCTGCGACTCCGTCCGGAGTAGAGCTGAACTCATAGCCATCTCAACCTCACGGGTACAAAGCATCACTTTCACCCTCCTTGCCTTCGAAGATCTTCACGCTCAACATGAGCGGCTTGGGTCTTGTCCCCGCGTCGGATGACAAAGCGGGCGCTTGGGGCGCCGCGGCCGTCGCCATCCTCTGCTGGAGGTGCTCTAGCAGAGCATTCTCGTAGCTTGAAAATGCCTCGAGACGCGCGTTCACCGTGTCGGGGCCTTGCTGCGCAAGTTGCGTCACGCCCTCCGGGTCCAGCAAGGACATAAGCCTTTTAAGCGCATCCTGCTGGTTCGGGGGCAAGTGAGCGAACTGCTCCATCGGTCAGTCTATACAGACTCAGGTGTCGGATTGACTACAAGTGCTACCAAGTGCAGCGGGGCTGCCGTAGCTTTGCGTCAGAGGAAGCTTATCAGACTCGCAGAGTCTCAGTTTAAGATAGCCCGTTCTAATACCAGAACGTACGAGTCCGTACACCTTACGGACTCCAAGAGTCAACCCTTAACTCTTAACTGTGTGAATCTCAAACTGAATGTATTTCCCTTTATTGCGGCAAAGCCGCCTACGGTGTAAATGTATCCGGTTCACTATCTAGCATAGTGAACCCTAGTCATATGCATAATCAGTGGCTCTGAAGCGATGTACTGATTCTCCTACTGATTTAGCTTAGACAGTGTGTACCCACTTCGTAACCCTTCGGGTAACTCTCGTGTAACCCCGTTACAATAAGTTTACAGGAAAATTCGGTCCAGGGGGTGTTTTCGGTGGAGCGAAGTCCTTCATGATGTATCAACAATTCACATCTGGAGGCAGTACAACTCAACGATGGACTTGGCGTCCCTCATCCAGTTCAAGTTGTAGCCCCGGCGGAAGGATTCAAGCACCTTGGTATGTTTCAAGGCGGGTGCAATCTGTGGGAAGCCACACTTGCACCTACATGGCTACAGCTCACTCAAGAAGCGCAACGAATCCAACACATGAATTTGTCATCAGCGCAATTCCGTTACATTGTCAACAGGGTGTGGATACCGCGTTTGCGGTACAGAATGATTTTGGGAGGTGCAATCTCTACTGCCGGTCTCGTAGATACATTCATCCGGCAAGTGGCTCGGACGGTGTTACGGCTCCCCTTTTTGACTCCGCGCCAAGTGTTTTATGACCAACAAAATGGAGTAGGATTGGAAAGCTGTGAACTCGATGCGAATGTGCACCGAATGCAAGAAGCGCTTCGAATTCTAAACTCACCCGAGTTACCGGTATATCATCTGCTGGTTGAGCGGCTAGAAGCATATCAAACCCACGCGGGACTTCCTGACAATCCTTTCGTGCTTCCAGTCAAACCTCCCGCCCAAGTGCGAACCTGGGAAGCACAATTGATTCGATTTGCAGCCTCACTCAAACCACCACTCCGTTTCGCTGTCAAATGGGCTCAACCACCTGCAGTGAGATCACTCCGAGCTAACGATCGACCGCTTATTGAGATTACACCACCGCAGCTCCGGGGTGTACTAGTTGCAGTTAATTGGAACTCGGACTGTAAACTTATCTTTGTGGGTGATTTGTGTGGGGTATATGGAACAAGTTTATTAACAAGAGCGGAACTGCAGCGAAAAGGAAAGTGGGTAGGAGCGAAAAAAGCACGTGTAGACCAGCTTTATGAAGATTGGAAATGCCATCTCGTCCACGAGGGCACATTGGACTTACGCGTACCTGTTGGTTGTCAGCGCTTGCCACCTGGGGTGGCCTCATACCAAATGAGAATTGGCGTTGGTGAGTGGATTATTGCAGTACAACTGGATACACAAGACGCAGTGCCACGTGTTGACCACTACGAGCTGGGCTATCGTGAAATTGGCGATGTCGCCCGTCACCAGCTTGGAACAGTGATCCCAATCCACTGGTGGTATGAGCGACCACGGGGTAGCGATATCTGGTATGAGCGGACCCATAGAGCCGTTGTCAACGAGTTCGAAGCTGTGTGCGTTCCTGTTATCGTAAGATATCTTCCTAGGCGTCGCAACAGGAAAGATCGAATAATTCTATGGACCACGACACAAGTGGACGGGATTCAAGGGGCCAACGATAGGCGCCTGCTTCAGGAGGCAGCGGCGCGCAGTCGGCTCCGCTATGAAAGTACATTGATCCATGGGACTCCCATTGAGATTGCAACGGCATGCACAGCTTGTGGGCGGCACAGAGGCGAACAATGGTGCAGTGAATGTGGTTTGTGGCACCATACACAGTGTATGACACGATCTTGCAGATTGCCACCCGTTGATGATACTGTCGTGGGGAATGCACGTGCGGCAAGCGTGCAATATGCGTGGAAGGAGGGTGACCAGACGCTAGTTGTTCAAGCTGGTGACGGCAGCGTTGCTGAAGCGAACACAACGAATGTACAAGGTGGATGGGCGCTACAAGCGCCAGGGGGTAACAGTGTCACGGGCCAACTACGAATCCACCGCCCCGATATCACCTCAACTCGATGCGAGATCCATGCGCTTTTAGGAGGACTGGTACTCTACGGCGATACGGGAGTTCAAATATGCGACAACAAAAGCGCTATCCAGATTTTTGAGAAGGCCCGAGCCCATACATCGGGCCAGCTCGGCCATATTAAATACCGAGATGTGCATCGCATTGAGATAAAATCGCTGAGCAGTGCCATGACTGCTCATGGGTCGATGATAGCCGTCTGGGTTCGCTCACACCAAGAAGAAGAGCTCACAACAGATGAATTGCTACGGCAGCGGCGAAATTCACTGGCGTGCGTGGATCTTGCTGCAGAGCGGAGCCATCACATGGATATGATGGCTTCATATGCAGCTTGGCTAGCGTTTGATAATTTCATGCTTGTAGATGAAGAGGGGGCATTGATTTTTGGCAATACGCTGCGCTACCTCAAATGCCGCGGTTACGAAGATCAGCACCGACGTTGAATACAGAACCAACAGCAGAGAGACGTAGCCCGACAAACAGTGCAAGACGGAGAAATTGGGATGATTTACAACGGGAAATGGTCAGAATCGCTACGAAGATTTTACTGGAGAGCTCGGTCCAATGTACTACACACCAATGCAGTCAAGAATCGCTTTGATAGTAGATGGTCGGCTAGATGCGCCACGTGCAGCGAAGTTGACACACAAGACCATCGTTTTGGACTCATTGAACCGGAGTGTGAACACGAATTGATCGCCAAGCTAACCACTTTGCATCGCTCGCTAATCTCCCAGCAGTGGGTACCGGATCAAGAGATTTTTCTACCTGCTATAGCTCACGACATAGGAACATCGTGTGGCCTCGAGCAGCGCGGACCCTGGTGCGGAAATGAACCTAGCAACTTTTTATGGCTGACGATGATTCGAGCAGACAATGGCATGTGGTTAAACCCTCAATGGCTTGACTGGTTAGGGGATCCTGCCGCGTTGTCTAAAGACCTCAGATTCCTCCAGCTCCTGGAAAATGAAGCCGAACCGAATCGACCAAGAGGATCTCCGCGATGCATGATACCTGTGGGGCTGATTGAGGCGGTGAGGTGTTATCACACACAGATTGGTTTATATCATGCGTGCCTTACCCAGTGGACCCCCGGTTGGTCAGCCATTTCATTTGAGCGCAGTATCTGTTTCGATCAATTTCCGGGCCTGGTGGGATTATCGCCACCACGTGAAATCACTACTTGGTGGATAGATGGTATCTACCTTCCTCGCTCTGAAGAATGGTGGGAAAGTTTTCAGCGCAGCTATGAAAGTCAGAGTGGGGAATCCTCACTGGTGTATTGGGTCGTGACGTACTTTGGCTCACCAGGGCACATGATACTTGAAGCAAGCGACTGTGTTTGGACTGTGAAAATACCGGCAGGCCAGCTGGCAATGCGTACCGAGGCATTCGTTGTGCAGCGTCGTAGCTGCACCATGGCAGACGTCTTCCAAATAAATGAACGCACGATTCTAATCGGTGTTTTCACATTGAACGGAAATGCACCCTCCATTTCAAGTAGTACGAAGTCGTACTGGGAGCAGGCCCTCGGCAGTGACGAATGGATAATTGACCCGCCATCAGAGGAGGAGCGAGCCGGCAGTCAACAACGTCATCCCTGCTTTGACTGGTATGGTCATGATAATGTGAATGCTCAACAACCCACGTGGTGGACTACTGTTCGACAGCAGTTGGATCGCCTTCAGCTGGCCGTCTACGAAGCCCCCAAAGGATGGCAACGGTACCCAACTATGACGAAAGGAAGCAAAGTATGGTCAGAGGCAGCATCCTACACTATGGGGCAGGCCAAGGTGTTGCATAAGTCGATTTTCTTGGGTACCTGGGTTACACTCCGAGAATACTAGGAGTACAGCTGCACCATCGACGCTAATGAACGATCTCAAAGACATTGCCAAGCGCTTTTGAGGGATGTGAACCTGGGAATCAAAACGAGACGCCAGCAATGGACTCAACGAACTCAAAGTCAACTGTCCCGCCGCCTCCAAGAACGAAGAGACCAGATTTGTGAGCGTGGCGAACGCTGGCATGACGAACGAAATCAACAACTTGGTACCGACGGCATGTTTGGTATCAAGCTCTTTACTTTACTGCATATAATGCATATGACCTCGACAGCACTGGTGACGCAGTCTCTGCGACTGTGTGATCCGTGCTGTCATGTATGGGCGACTACCGCGGGCGCGTGTTGTTTCAACATGCGATCCGTAGGCGGGGCTGCAGCAGCGCGCAGTATCGAGTTTAGTTAGCCGACTAAACCGCAATAAATTTAAATTTAAAAGTCAAGCTGGGCGACGTCTTCGACTACTACACCGGGGCTCCTAGTTCCCCTGTGGGTAAGGCCCACGAAGATCAAGTGTTCCAATGAGGGCTCGAGTCTCGCCCGGAGCGATTCCGATACAAAAGCCACGTAAGTCTATTTCCGACCCCCGACTATCTCCATCACTACATCCCCTGGAACCCCCTAAGTCACCCCTCTAATGGAACTCCCGATTGCATCCCCTCAAACCGCCGCCTCACCACGACCTCAGGAAGGGAAATCGTTCAACTACGAATAGTTTAGGGTAACACACAGGGGTCGGACAATAAAATATAAAATTGTATTGTAGATGTCTTTCTTCCGTAATAATCATTGCAATACGACTCATCTCGATAATCAATTATTTTAGTGGAACAATACAGTAATTATTGTATTGTGCTTTCCATTTACCTTGGAATTTGTGAATGAATAAAATACCAACATATATTGGGGTTGACAAAACACAATAATAATCATTGTAATACGCTGATCTCCAGTAATCAATTATTTTAGTGGAACAATAGCGTAATAATTGGTTTTGTATTATTTTTTCCGACCCCTGGTAACACACTTAGACGTCAAAGTGCCAGCTTCCAGCAGTGCTTACATATACGCCACCAGGTCAAGTACCTGGGGCCTTTTCTCTCGACTACTACACCACAAGCGACGGGGTGCTGCACGTCCCCAAGTGGACCAGCTTCCGCTTCGCAGTAGACGAGTATCTGGAGAACGACCCGCGACTGAGGTTCCACCCCAACCGCGTTCGGGAGTTCATCGACGAGAGGGGACTGGAGCACTTGGAGGAGATGCAGTAAGCTCGCACAGCTTAAACTTCGACATTAGTTGTCGATGTTTACTGAAGTTAAGTCTTAGATGATGATCAATCCACCCTGATCACTCATCTTACCCCTTCAAAAACAACACCAATCATCAAGATTGCGTCAAAACTAGCTTATCTTTTAGTTATCTGGGCACTATGCTCTACGTTGTTGTGTTGCCACACCCCAGCCATGCTTCCTCAACCGGATCACATGGAGCCCCTACGTGCTCCTGAATCTGGCGATGGCGTATCTGAATTTTGACGGGGTCGGGGTTGCAGGCCAGAACCTGCATGCGGTGGTTGTAGCACATCCCCACGACCCACGTGTCGGGCTCAAGGCCCGGCAGGCGACACTGTCGATACGGAACTCCGTCGCACATTTGGATCGTAGCTGCAGTCGGCGTTTGAGAGAGTCCCGAGTATGGCTGGCAGACGTTGCTGGAGAATTTGTGGAAAACCTCTAGCGTTGTAGTGGTGGCTTTTAGTGACGCGTCGTGTAGGCACGTGGCGTTAGTGCAGAACGGGTTGGTGAGGTCACAAGCTCCGAGAAATCCGTTGCAGCACAATTCAGCTCCTTGGTACACGGCGAAGTGCACGATTGATCCTACGGATGGGAGGTCTGGAATCCAGGACAAGTGCTCTAGGACGCTAAATTCCATCCTCTGCAGTCGGGGAAGTGTCTTTAACGACGGCAGCGCCGTAAACTCGCCCATTCGAGCGAGAATCAAGCACGAGAGGTTCGGCGCGCCATCAAGTGCTGGCAGGCGAATCATTCGTTTATGAAGCCCGATTTGCAGATAACGTAGCTCAGGCATGTCGCTGAACAGGTCGTCGGCCAAGTTGCCAAGGTTTTTGCTTCCAACTTTGCCCTCGATTTGTCTGTCGTACGAACCCAGTCAGATTGAAGCAGAAGTACTCAGCTATTCACATGAGACGTCATGTAACTTACAAGTACTGGAGCATGCGGAGATCTTTCGCCCATGTTGGCAGCTCTTCCGTCGCACAGTTGATCAACGCTCTACAACACCACACACACAGTAGTATCATCTTAGCAAGTGTAAGTATCACTACTTGACCCCGCGCGAAGTAAAATCTTCTTACATAAAATTCAGGTTGTTGCATCCTCGAAGCTCGTCTGGTAACACCGTCAGATGTAGATTAATGAGCTGAAGTGTTTCCAACGTGCCCGCCGCCGCCAGCGCTTTTACAGTTTCCGTGGCATCAACAGGGTGGGTCCACTCGTGATAAGTTTTCGGTGCGCGGTCTCCATCGATCAGCGCTCGACACGGACAATATTGCGCATCTCGCCATCGATACGCGAAGACGACGCACTGCGGGTAAGCGGAACAAATGCTTTTAGACGTGAAAATGGCTTCTTGGGTGACGACAACAACGCCAACGCTGTAGGCGAAGAAAAGGACAGCGACCGACTTTGGCGCTGCTCGTTGACATGAACGATTGCCGCCAACAACACTCGGGGATGTCAAGAGCGTTGAGTGCTGCTCAAGCTGTGAGCCTCTCCTCTTGCCTTGTTGCCGAAGTCGCTGGGTCTGCATCTGGATGAGCACCTCCACCACTCGCTTAAACCGGTAGGCAAACCCAATATTCATACCAATTCGTAAGAAAAAATCTGAAATTGTGCGGATTCGTAGTGAGTCAAAAGAGACGCGAAACAGCTCAATCTCCGTCGGGTTTGCGAGCATGCGCGCGCGTCTTTCAAAACTCCCAACGGGGAACAACTCCATGTTGATTCGGAACACGGCGCGATCAAAGTCGAAGTTGTGAGCGCTATACATGAGCACGATGATCGGGAACACCACGGCCGCGCACAAGTCGAACAACGAGTCGATGAGGATTTCAGCGAAGGCGGTGTATCTGTGGCTGATGATCTCCACCGCGCAAAGTAACGAGTTTACGGCTGTGAAGACCGCGAATCCAAACGTGAGTTCAACTGGCGTTCCTGCTTCCAACAAGTCGCTAAGCATAAGCCCCTGCAGCATCAGGTCGAACGCTTTCAGACACAAATTCTAGGACAATACAACAACAATTACCGTCATTTTGGAGCACAACCTTCGCTAAAAATCTGCATGTACTTACCCACAATTTGCGATGTCTTCCTCGAAACCCCGTAAGTTCTTTCAGGAATAAGTAGAGCTCCCAGACCAGCCTATAAGCTCTGTGTAGTAAATCCAGCTTGGACCAGTCGTCCGACAGCGTTCGACTGGGCTCGCATCGCATCAGAACTCGGTCGACAAATGAGCCCTCGACGTGGTGGTATTCTCTCCACACGAGCATCTTGAGCAACACGTAAATGTACAGAGCGACCACCACCAGAAGTCCCGCAACGCTGACAATTTGTAGCACACTCATCTCCTCAGGGATGAGCCAGAACTGTCCGTCGTCGAACTCGGCCGTGTCCATGAGGTAGTTGGCCGTCTTGTTCGGCGCGAGCGTGAGTATGGTGAGCCACAACGTCCAGCAGATGCACACCACCGCTACTACCAGCATCGGGAGCCCCAGAACGCCGAACGCATCTCTAAAGGATACAAACGTCAACTTTATCGCCACAATGCTGCGTCGAGGAAGATCTGCGATGTTTGACGAGAGCTCGCGAGTTAATTTCCTTTGGCCGTGCACTGGAGGTGGTGAAGACCCTAACGGTACAACTTCAGAAGTGGATAACCTGTGCCATGAGCTAGTTAGAGATTGCCACGCAGTTGGTCGCTGCTGGACGATGACAGGCCCGCGCTGGATGAACAGCGCTTCGGGATGGCGGGTGGTGAGCATCAAACTTGAGTTGTGCAAGGATTAGATAAGTTTAGCTGAGACTTCGGTAGTTTCTTCTACCCAACGAGAAGTTAGAAATAGTCATCGATACGTTAGTTGAAACCAAGCTCTCCCTTCAGTCACGTGTCCTGACGGAGCTTCATGCACTCCGATTAAAAATGATAAGCAGCGAGATACATTACGCTGTCATATACACAAGCTTTGCCTTGTTTTTTTTTCCTACCGCAGCCTTTCTAGAGCTTCATGGGGAGCGCGTCCCGGTGGTACTTGGCGCGGAAGAAGTCGCGCACGTAGCCGAGCACGAAGAAGTGCTCGAAGATGAGCACGGCGGCCGTGTCGGCGATGCCCCAGCCGAAGAGCTCCCAGCGGAAGCCCTTGGGTAGCGGGATGTCGGGCAGCCCCACGACGTTGGTGCTGCTGGCCACGCGGAACTGGTCGCTGAAGCGCGAAGGCGGGCCCACGAACATGACGACGAGCACCACGAAGAGCAGCGCGTACCAGAAGAGCAGGAAGACGTTGTGCCAGATCGGGCGGCGGAAGCGCGAGCCCAGGCCCATGGTGAGGCCCGTGGACATCTGCTGGAAGCAGATGATGAACCACAGCGTCGAGCCCAGGTTGCTGTCCTGCAGCAGCCACCACTGCACCAGGTTGACGTCGCTCGGCTGGAACGGGCAGTACCAGGGCTGTGTGGTCAGGTCGTGGATGGCGCCGTACAGGAACAGCCAGTGGATCACGGACGCGCCGATGAGCGAGCACACGGTCGTGGGGCCCACGAGACTTGAGGTCGGGCGCTGCGAGCCCATTGTCGTGAGCGGCCGAGCGCGCGTGAGGCCGTACGAGATGCCGACCAGGATGGCGCCGTCCAGATACATGAAGCCGAACTGCGAGATGAAGACGCCGTTGTAGTACATGACGGTACGGCAGCCGATACCGATGAGGCCGTACATGATGAGGTACTTGACGCTCGCGAACGACGTGGCCAGCGCTCCGCGGCCCTCAAGCACCAGGTCCACCACGGCCTTGAGCGACCGGGCCTTGCTCGTGAACGGAGACACCACGGAAGCCTCAGCATCGCTGAGCGCCACGCCGACGTGCGCGATACGCAAAGCGCCGCAGTCGTTGCCGCCGTCACCGCACATTCCGGTCACCGATCCCGTTCCCATGTGAAGCTTGACGCAGTCCACCTTACCCTGAGGCGTCATGCGGCTGAAGATGCGGGTCTTGAGCAGGATCTTGTGGATGTCGCCCATCTTGACCAGGAAGTCGAAGGCCTTGCCGGTCACAGCCAGCTCCACCTTGGTATCCACGGCCTCGACCATGTCGCGGATGTCATCGAACGAGAAAACCTGCTGCGAGTCCACATCCTTCCACACGAGCATGCTGCCGACCTTCTCGTCGGCCACCATGTCGCCCAGCACCATCTGCGAGTCCTCCTCCACCATGCCACTGGCCCGGGCAATGTAGCAACCAGTCATGGCGTTGTCGCCCGTGATCATCACCGGGCGGATGTCGCCCTGCTTCAAAGTGAGAATCGCGTCGCGCGAGTCCTCCTTGATTTCGTTGCGGAACATGATCAGGCCCAGCAGCGCCAGAGACTCCTCGACAGCGTCACGGTCGGCCAGGAAGGCGGCGAGCGCGGCCTCGCTCATGGACGGCATCTCCTTGAAGGCGATACCGAGCACGTAGCAGCCGTTCTTGGCCAGGTTCTCGGCCGTCTCGAAGTAGTTAGCCGGGATCGAGTTGCTGCTGGACACGGACGCCATCTTCTCGTACGAGCCCTTGCAGAAGACGATGAGCTTGCCGGTGCTGCGCTGCTTCATCACGACGCTCATGGACATGCGGTGGTGGTCGAACTCGAAGCGCTTGACGAACTCGAGCTCCTCGGAGCCGTCGGCCGACTCCACAACGGGCAGCTGGCCTTCCAGCTCGATGAGCTTCCACTGCGTGCTCTTGAACATCTTGACCTCGACCTCGTTGCCCACCAGCTCGCCGTTGAGCGAGCCCACGGCGTGGCACGACGCCAGCGAGAACTTCATCATCTGGTTCAGGGACGCGTCCGTCATGTCGTTGAACTCCGGCAGGAACTCGCCCGACTCGCCGATGGGGACGCAGCCACGGTAGTCCAGTCCCTCCTTGGTGATCGTGCCGGTCTTGTCGAAGCAGAAGACGCGGACCTTACCGCAGAGCGTGATACGCTGCGGGTTCAGACAGAAGACGTCCTGCTTCTGGAGGCGCTTGGCCGCGTTCACCTGACCGATGGTCATCACAACGGGCAGCAGCGGGTTCAACACGGCGCTGAACATGAACATGCCGTACACGAAGGCGAAGAGCGTGTTGCTGAGACCGGCGTTCTCGATCAGGAACTTCATGGCGAAGTAGGCGGCGATGAGGCCAATGACGAACAGCACGGAGAAGACGGCCTTGAGGTGCTCATCGTACTTGAATCGGATCGGGGCCGGGTACAGGATGGCCTGCACGAGTTGGCCGCGGCTCGTGTGCGCGCCGGTGGCCTGCACGATGGCCAGGATCTCCTCGTCGCGGCCCGAGGCCAGCGTCCTCGTGCCGGAGAAGAGCGTGTACTTCTTGCCGTTGCCCTCGGCGTCGTAGACGTCGCTGCTGTCGTTGGGCAGCGGGAACTTTTGCACGGGCATGGACTCGCCCGTGAGCATGGACTCGTCGCACACCGTCGAGCCCTTGACGATCGCCAGGTCGCACGGCAACTCCCAGTTCTCGGCCACGCGCACGAGGTCTCCGGGGGCCAAGTCGGACGACTTGATGGTGGACCACTCGCCGTCGCGCTTGACCGTCACGTCGGCCACGTAGTGCGTCATCTGCACGACGGACGCGAGCATGCTGCGCTTGGCGTAGATGTTGAAGGCCGCGGCCAGCGCGATGACTACCGTGTTGAGCACGGACACCCAGACATAGTCGGTGAAGTACCAGACGTAGTAGCACATGAGCTGGTAGATGTAGAAGAAGGAGAAAAACTCGTCCACGACGGACGTGGCCCACGACGGCATCTCCAGTTCGATGGCGTTGCGGCCCACGATGTCCTGGCGACGCGAGTGCTCGTCGGTGGTCAGGCCCTGCGAGTCCGAGAGGATCTTGTCGTACGTGTCCGGCAGCACCACGGAGCCCGGGATGAACTTGCCCTCCACGTCGTCGTACGTGTAGCGCAGGTGCTGGAACTCTAGGTAGCGCGCGCCCTCCGCGGTTGTGTGCACCGTCACGGTCTCCTCGACGCCCTGGCGCGAGTGCGGGAAGAGGAAGCTCTCGAACTTGAGCACCATCTGCGCGACGCCCGAACGGTCCGCGAGCATGGTCTCCGTCACCTCAGGCTTGTACATGAGCACGCGCGTGCACTTGTCCAGCGCCGTCGGGTAGCGGAAGAAGTTAAGGATCTTTAAGCGGTAGACGACCACGACGACGAACCACACGGTGGCAATGACCCAGAGCGAGATGAAGACCTTGATGACGACTGTCGTGGGGTTGAACCACGCCGCGTAATTGTCCGTGGCCAGCTTGCCCTGGTTGTCGCGGATGGTCAGGATGATGGGGATGTTGAGCAGCACCGTCATGAGCACGAAGTAGCCGAAGACCACGTAGCCCACGACCGAGTCCGTGTACCCGGTCTGCACGATGTCCTCGGTGCTGTTGCGCAGCTGCACCTCGGACGGGCGGTCGGCCAGCGACGGCCGAGTCACGGACGTCTTGATGCCGGGCGTCTCGGGGCCTCCGCGGTGGTCCAGCAGCTTCTTGTCGCCGTCCGCGATGTCGGTGAGCGGCGCGGCCGCGTCGGACGAGCGGCGCACGCCGAGCAGCGTGCGCAGCGCGGCCCAGCAGGCCAGACTGAGGAAGCACACGGCGTAGATGGCGTAGACGACCACGAGCGGCGTCTCCGTGAACGTGGTGAAGCGGTAGACCGACGTGCCCGACTGCGACGTGCAGAGGCTCTTGGCCGTGGCGTTCACCGTGCCGTCGTCCAGCATGATGCTGCGGCACACGGCGCCAATGGGCAGCGACGCGTTGTTGTTGCGCGGGTTGGGCGTGGACGACCAGAAGACGGACGTGTCGGTCGAGTCCTCGGCCAGCGACGTGTTTTGCGTGTAGATGGCATCGCTGCCGGAGGGCGCGAAGGTGCACTGCAGCGTGCTCACGACCGCGCCGTTGACGGCCACGTCGCGCAGGCGGCAGGTGCGGTCGGCCTCGCCGTAGACGTAGCTGGGCGTGCTGGGCGCGTAGAGCGAGACGTCTCCGTCGGGGTCGTAGTTGACCTGGCGGCTCTTCTGCCAGCCCTCGTCGTAGTAGCTCGAGAAGCCCGCGCCCTGCGGCTTGTTGTAGCGCACGTACACGAGGCCGTTGGAGACGTCGGAGCCCTCGGGCGTGCCCAGGTCGCAGCAGTAGTACTGCGGCGAGTGGTTGATGGCGCACGCCGGGTAGTCCAGCTGGGACGCCGTGCCGGCCACCAGCGCGGGCAGCGCCGCCAGTAGCAGCGAGGTACGCACCATTGCGGTCGCTACGCGGGTCACTTGAGCTTGACTCGACGGATTAAGGAATGGCCCGAAGATCGGCCGATGTGTTCGACTGGAGCGTGTCAAGTCGGCACCACATGTAACGGTTCTGTACGTACCATCTGATTACAGAGACGAGCGCCTACATACACTTGCCAAGGGACACACGAACTCCGTGGACCAGAGGAGCATCTCCGCGGCGCCCGCGGAATTCATACCGGCCGAGTGGTTCTCATGCAGGGGGTTCTTCAGGTTGGCGAGCTCTTCGAGCTCGGCGCGTCTTGGAGCCCGCGCGTGGCGTGGTGTGCGGGTCAAATCGAGGGAGACTTGAGCCTACCGCAGCGAGCCGGCGAATTTCGGCAGAAACACGCTCTCGGCGGTAAGTGCCCGTGCTCTGGAGGCTTCGTCGGCAGTACGCGACGAAAAGTACGGTTCCGTGGAGCCGCCGTTGCACTGCTGCAACGGTTGCAGCCAGCCATTCGCGCATTTCGGCTCGGCCGCGAGCTGAACCGGGCTCCGATGCGAGCCGCATCATGTTGCGGTTTACGAGGCAAATTTCCTCTTATCCTGCGATCGTCGGAGCTGCTGCCGCTCGAGCTCGTGGATCTTGGTGTGATGTCTTCAGGCTTCCTAATAAGCGCTATATAAGCGCCCTCTTCATCGTAAGCCACCACCGCAAAAGATGCATCCTCTAGTTTGCAGCAGCTCCTTCCGTGACCTGATACCCTCGCGGCATACGCCCCAACGATACCGCAGCCGGGGCTTGCACAGCAACGTCTGACACGTCTTGCAGCGTCACGCCAATCGCTGGCGCCGGCCTTTCTCGCGCTGACGATCCGATCCCCGTCGGCCAACGACCAGCGCGATCTCCTTGCCGCCGCTGCGTGTTGGCTAGCCTTTGGCCGGCACTGCGCGACAACCAACACACTACCAGCGCTACCGTTTTACAGCCGTACTGTACCGTCGAAACGAGTTCTACTCAGCATACTGCAGTTGAGTTGAAGTTATCGTGGAAGGAAATCTTGACGGAGATCGAGTTGATTCAACTTGGAGTTCGTCGTTGCAGTGAACTGTTGTTGAAGTCGAACGGATTCGCATTCAGCGGTTTGCAGCAGCAACCTTATCGCGTAAATACAGGCGGTCGTCGTTTGCTTTTTGTCGGAGCACCGAGTAGAGCAGAATGTGCTGGCGCTCGCCGTTCCAACTCTCTCCTCCGTTCGCAAGAGTTCTTGACGTCCAGCTCTTAGTAGGAAATGGTGTCGATGGAATGAAGACGGCCACGGACGGCTGTGAGTTGATGGTTGAGCAGGGGTGGGGTCAAAAATCTGAGGGGTGCCTGAGAAAAAGCAAAAAAGGGGGTCTGGCACTCGAAAATATGGGGGTATTGTGCCTTTCTGCCAAAACGCCCTCCGATTTTAGGTCCTACGTATTGTGCTTTTCAGTTGTTTTGGCAAATTGGACGTGTAAAACAGCTACCACTCCGTTTCAAAATGAAAGCACGATTGGCGTCAAAAAGCGCCCTCCAAATCAATTTTCAACGTTTTCGCGTAAAAATTGCACCACTTGAACTGCTGAATTCTCCTCTTTCAATTGATGTGCTAGTTTACCTGAACCGTTTAGAATTGACCTTTGTACACTTGAATATCGTGTGGCTAGTAGGCTTTTCTCTTCGGAAATGCACAAGAAAGTACAAATCATCCGTGATTTGAAGATGTCAGTAATCCCTCCCATACTCAAACCAAGTCTTTTTTCGTGCTATCTTTCTGAAACAACCTTCACGGTGAATCATGCTTTCTTTTTGAAACGGAGTGGTACCTACTAAAATGGGGCTAGGTTATCGGAGCAGATTAGCAGGTCCCTCGTAGGGAATTAGCCCTTTAGCTACCAGACCATTCCTGAGGGGTCCACTTGGACCTCTTCCAGAGCCTATCAAATCGTTGCATTTGAATTTTTAAACCAATCAGAGGGATCACGAGAATGGCCGGATTCCTTTGAAATCAACATCCCCCTCAAATTTGATTTCCCCTCGTGTTCTTAACATGGAGGACGTCGAGAGCTTCGAGAGCGTAGAGAGCGTCATGGAGGACGTCGAGAGCGTCGAGCGCGTTGAGAGCGTCGAGAGCATGTGCGGCTGGTGCGGCGCACCGGAGTGCGACTGGCTGCGCTATGGTGGCGAGCTCGAGGAGGCAGGAAAGCGTCTGCAGGGCAAGCTGGCGAGAAAGAGGCACCGCAACCGTGCTATCCGCATATCGCTGCGTCGATTGTGTCTCTATGCTAAAAACGGAAACATGAAGGGGGATGCTTAGCATGCATCACTCGACGCCTCAACCAACTTTGGCCGGACAACACGATGGTGGGTATATTACTACGCTGTTGGCAATGTAAGTGCTTCTGACGTGCAGCAGCGACTGCGTACGGCTTGATCCACCCATTCTGCTTGCGGTAGGCGGAGCCGGCTGCACGCCGTGCTCTCCTGCAACATCGCGGGGCTGTGATGGACCGAGCTGCGCTTGCGCGTCGGCCGCGCCACATTGCATGGTGGTGTGCTGCACGTCAGTGGTACTGTTGAGACGCACACCACCAGCATCCCCGAGATACACGTCCACAGCGCCTCCTCGATGCATGGTCACTTCGCCGCAAACTGCACCGCCTGGTAGACTGCTGTCACTGGCGTCGGGATGCTCGTCATCAGCGCTGTGTTGCTCGTCGTCAGCGTCGTCGAGGGTGGGATCTGCGTGCACTAGGTGGTCCCAGTCGTCGACGAGCGCTTCGAGTGCGATGTCCTCGATGCTGTAGTCCTGTTGAAGCTCGAGCGCGTCCCAATCTCCGCCAACTCCTGCTTCCATTGTTCCGATGTGCTCGCCGGTCGCCAAAAACCTGAATGGCATTTATACCGTTGATATCAGCTTGTTACGAACCGAATCCGTTGGTCTGGCTAGCACACGGTGGGGGTCCCAATGACCCCTGTCCGATACGAGGATGGCTCGTCTTATGGCCAGCAACAATTTCGTCCAATAGAAATCGTGGATTTGCCTCTCTTACTGGTCCCTATGGACCCGTCGGTGGTCCGGTAGCTAAAGGGTTAGGACCAAGAATTGCTAGTCCGATGGAAGCACTTGCGCAGGTCCTACAAATAGCCGAAAGCTCAAATGTCGCCCATTTTCACGGCATTCGGGGTTTGAGGTCTTACGAAGGACTCCTACCAAGTCTTGTGGCAGGACTTTCATACGAGCTGACTCTAATACGGTGTATGTCAAACGGAGAATAAACCTATGAAAACACGATGCAATCGATACGTTAAACACTCCAGTCGTCGCCATTCGCCTTCGCGGGTTCCGGCATTGCTTGCTTCCCCAAACAAAGATTGCTTGACTTGGACTCCAACCGGAGTCCATTGAACGGAGAGACTCCAGGAGACCACTCATCGGACTCGTCCGAGATTTGCATCTCAGATTTAGAGACCACCAACCTCAGATTAACTGACCTCCAAAGTCCTACGTAGGACTCGGCAAAATGACCGAAAGGCACAATAGGACTTTTGCTCCTATGTAAGGTCTCATAAAAGTTAGTACCGAGGACAGTAAAACCTGGTATAAACAAAAACTGAATGTAAACTGAGCGAATGCCTTGCATAGGTAGGCCGACAAGTCAGCGCGTTCAGTACCGTTATACCTGTAGCACATGTATCCATGGATACGTAGCTCCACGCTGAGCACGGTGACCTGGGTGCGGTGCTGCCTGAGTCTCCGCCTGTACGAGTGTGTCCAAACTATGCATTTGCCACAGATGCTTTCAGGCGCACTGGCCTGATCCAGTCCTACGAAGGACTCGTGGGTCCTACGAAGGTCCAAATGGCCAGCTTAACTTGGCCATTCGGGCCTTGTTTCCAAAAAGGTACCCTTTAGGTGAAGACGGAGCTCCTACGTAGGACTTTCGTAATCCGATGCAAGGCCAACAGCAAATCCTAGGTTGAGCCCTACCCTCTCCTTCTTAAGACCACCTTTTTGAGGCCAGATTGGCCAAAGTTTTGGAAACGCACAATAAGTGTCTCAAAAATAGGGGGGGGGCATGACGTTTTACATGAAGTGTTTTGCTAAACAAGCGACCCTGTTTTAGCTTCGGAAACGTTGCTGCGCGAAATAGCTAGCTTCGTTGAGGCTTGCATTGGCTGCAAGACGCTAGTTACTCCGTGGAGCCGTGAGCAATGGCGAACCATGCACAGCCGTCACCGCCCGCCCCAACCTTGTCACCACCTTGTGTTGTCGACACGCCTTCACGGACCGTCTTCGGGCGCGCCAAGTCAACTGGCCTGCTCCGTGGGTGCTCGTAGACACGCACATCGAGGAAGACAACCGCGACAACACCCACCGCCAGATCTCCTTGCAGTTCGTAGTAGTATCCGCCAAGCGATGACTACTGTGCCGCTGCCGCTTCTGGACGTGGCTGATCGAGGTCGCCTCCGAGCCACGTCGATACTCGCTCGCAGCCCATATTGACGGTCGACCTTCGAGTGTGAGACTCCAAGCCGAATCCAACCGTGAGGCTTGCCTTGCCTTGCCAGGTTTTGTTTTCGCGGTGCTTATACCCAATGTGAACTTGGGTCGACTTGGACGCCTCGCCAACATGCTTTCTTTTTATTATATTGTCGACATATCGAGATTGTGGAAAAGTGCTATCGTCTTCATTTCATTTAGAAAAAATATTTGCATGAAGTGTAGTTTGGTTAACAAGATGAATGATGCGATCCCTTTCAGTGTCAAACGATGATCGACTCTCTGGGGACGCTGTGAGCTTTTCCAAACTTAAACGATGCGTAAGAACTATATCTTCTCTTTTTCTAACGCGGGAAAGAGCAACGTAAGGATAGGATGCATTTGCCAGTGAATTGGAATGAAATACGACTTTTGAGGATGTAAGCCCTTGAACCTTATGAATCGTCATAGCGTAGGCAAGTCTTAACGGAATGCCACAGCGAACGACTTTAAAGTCACTCCTTGCACTTCCCCAACTCGTTTCCTTTGGAATGATGGGGATAATGTTAGGTACGTTTGGTAAAAAGGATGGAGCAAAGTATTCATCAACTATTTCAACCAAAACGATAGGAAGTTCTGATCCAGACACAAAGATCATGTCGTACACAGTAGCGTTCGTTCCATTGCATAGCCCTGCTGTTTGCTCAGCATTAAATGTTAGTGTGACAGGAGCACCAATTGCTAAATTGAGTCGGATTGGTACAACTCGGTCTCTCCTTGGGATCTTTTCTTGTGCCTGATCTAAAAGAGCTTTAACTGTGCCTTGAGGTACTTCTCTATTTGCGATCAAGCGTTTTTGCTTCACATTGTGCACGGACTTTATGTGCACAATTGGAGAAGAAGCATTCTGCAGATTTACGTCATTAGCACTATCAACATCTGCGTTAAGGTATGCAATGTGCTTCGCAGCATGCACCCACTCAGGCATTGCGTTGGTTTTGAAGAATCGAGTATTAAAAAGGTCAATGTCCAGCTGTGTTGGTACTTTTTCTCGCAATCTTCGTAGCGCTTCAAACCATTCCGGGTCATCCTTCCCTCTATGTTGACTGCTTAACGAGCATATGCATTTAATTTCCTCCCAAATTTCGCGTCCTTTGCTCTGGATATTGTCACGTATTCTATCTGTGGATGTCGCTAGAGAGTATGGGGTTACAGGGTCCAACTGAGCACTGTCTCCCGTGAAAATGACATCTCTTCCACCAAATCGGACCTCGCGCTGATCAGGCCATATCTCTCGCATTCTTTGGTCTATCCAATATAGCATTCCACATGATATTACGCTAAATTCGTCAATTAATACCAGGTGTATATCCCTGAAGCGCTGCTGAAGAAACAATAGCTTAGCTGGGCCGTTTTTTTTTGCGTGGTCATTGCGACGTAAGGTTTGGAAAAGGCATTTTTGCAAACGATGAAAAACCAAGCGCAGAGCACAGTGTTTGTCATTTTATATTATATGCAGCTGTTCCTTGATGCGCTAGTAAAAGCACCCTCTTTGAGTTCTGCTGTGTACTTGAGTTCTCTCCGAAAACAGAGTGTACATCCTTCACAATGTGCTTAATTAGCCAACTCTTCCCAGACCCCCCTTCACCATGAATTATCATATGCAAGGGCTTGCAAGGTACATTATTGAGCGTGCAATTATACCGTTGTCGTGACTGCTGCATAGCCATAGCAAACGGTATCCATTGAGATTCCGCCATAATATCTGAGTCGCCTGGATCATGGGTAACGCCTTCGATTGGGTAGAGATATCTTTTTTTGTGATCGGTGGATTGCTGTAAATTGAAATGAAATGCTTCTCGCTGATTTTTTGCCCATGGCCGCACATATTTTGTCATAAATTCGCGTGCTCTATTAATGTCTTCGTTAGAGTAGTGGTGCTTTGGGTTCCGTTGAGTATGAAGGTCTGCAATAAGTTTTTTTATCTCTCTCGATTTCGATCTCATGCTCATTGAGGTGCTCATCAGGTTCTTCGATGAAAACATACTCGGACGGGGGCAGATTAGTGCAGCATTAGTTCTCGCGAGAATTCTTCAGAAGATTTAATTGACATTGCCTCGTTACCTTTAAATTCACTTCAGTTCGGAGTTCATTGTCGAGGTTTTTATTTTGTTCGTCGTAGAACCGACTAATACAGTCATCGTCAGTAATCGGTAAGTCACTTAAGTATCTCCAAGGAACGTGTAAAAACAACTCAGGAAAACAAAAGTTAGGGTTTGATGTGTCTGGTGCCATCCATGGCGACATACGAAGAACTTGGGCTTTTCGACGCTGTCGTAAAAAACCTAGATTATCGATTCGCTTCCAATACTTCGCTGTTGAGGTTGCGCTTTCAACTACGTCATTAAAAGTACTATTAGAAAGAGACTCACCCTCGGTAAACAATTTTTCGCCGATAATTCTTTCGACTTGGCGCGCAAACATGGATATTCAGATGATAGGAAACGCGTATGGCGCTGCCGAATATACTTCTGCTTACGTGAGCAAAGCCGAGCCTGACACATTGCGCTTTCGAAGCACTATCGCTGCAGCTGTTAAGCGATGTGACCCGAATCTCCCTTACTACGCTATTCTTAAAAGAATAGCTAACGCCACATTGGCTGTTCGTGAGGTAAGTGCCCAAGAAGCCTACTTCATACTGCTTCGAGAATTAAACATGTATGGTAAGTCTCGTAAAGTAAGCCGAGTGAAGGTTTTGCGTCATCACTTGCGATATTACCGAATTGAACCAGAAGCCTTACGGAACTTGGGCATCGACAAACCGCCTCAACCCGATAATATTAAAATTGAATCATACGAAAAAGCCTACATGGCGCGTCCTCAGGAAGAACCATTCAAGTCGATGTCATATGCTAGCTTTGTAGAGCACTATGAGGTGGGTACCGTCAGGTGCAGTTTTTACCTCAACTTCAGTGCGAGGATGAAGAGTTTTGGGACAGCCAAATCTACATTCGTCGGCTTTCTTTCGACAAGAAGATCCACTGTAGCATACATGTTGCTGCACTCGGTGAGCTAATCGGGAGATATCGCATGCCCATTCATCTGAATTGCCACATGGCGGTCGCATTGCCAAAATATCAATGCTTGCAGACCGTGATGACTTACAGACGGAGCACTGGCACGAATCTAGGTCATCGAGCGACTTTATCAATACAGAAATATACTTGTCAATATATGCTGCCAATTGAATGCGACCAAATTCTGTTTTTGAGAGCTCAAGGGCATCAGGGGCATCTTTTATCCACAATAGTGCATGAATATGAGGTGAGCCTCTTTGCTGAAACTCAACTCGCCAAAAGAAATCAAAATTCCCCCCAGAGGTTGGCTTGGGCCGCGAAGTACGTGGTCGAAAAAAGCTTTAAACCTTCTGTTAAAATGCCTGGCAGCAATATCAGGGGTTTCGTTAAGGTACTTACGTCGTTCTTTAGACGTTAGATGTGCAGCTTGTTCCATAGTCAGATAAGGATTGCAAGCCCTAAAGAAATCGGGTCATACTGTGTCTGCCGCACTCAACGTTAAGAAAAAAGTTGGCCATCGCGTGGGAAGCACTCTATTGCCTATCATGCTCATCAACTCATATCTGACGTTTGCCCAATAGAAACCGCTACCACGAACACTACTAAAGTATGGTTTTAGTGACTCTAGATACTGCAATGCTGTTTTGGTATCTGAATCGACTGATGGTGATCGTGTAGTCTCCACATTTTCGTAAGAAACACATGCGCTACTGGGCTGGCAATTGACGCGACGAACAAGACTGTCAATTTGGCGGTGCTGAATAAGGTTCAGACAGAAAAATTTGAAGTTGCCATGAATTACATAGCGACGGTCGTGCCACTTCATAAGGTGTGCACAATATTCAGCAAGGTCGTACTCATGGATTCGGTCTTCAACGTCTTCTAGTGGGTTTATTCCACCTTCTCCATTCGGGAAAATGGTGGGGAAACAATTTTGCATGAGCAATGTCGTGTACTCATTGATGGTATCTTTTTGATACGATAATTCTCCAATTGGATAAATTATCTCTCCTGCTGTAGCGTTGGCTGCTTCAACAATGCGCTGAATTTCGGTTAGATTCTTACCAGCGTCTGCGGTCATTTCAAACGATTCTTCGATTTCATTACAATGAAGCCTAGCTTGTTGAATATCGCTATTAAGCATAAAACTAGACAAATCTGAGTTTGTTTGGTTCAAGATCGACGTGATCCCCCCGAGCTAGTTACGGAACGCCCCGAGCAAGCTCCTGTAGAAGCTCCACCCGAACACCCCCAGCAAGATCTTGTGCAAGCTCCGCCCTACCACCCCGAGGAAGCCCCTGTCGAAGATCCGCCCGGACGCCCCGAGCATGCTCTTACTCAAGACCATGCTGATCGCGTCGAAGAGGTTCCACACCAGTATCAAGTTGCGCCAGATCTAGTGCCGGAGCCAGTTCCTGATCAAGCGCCCGTAGAGTTCGATATTAGCGATAGTGAGGATGGCGACCACATCGAAGGCGAGGGGAACGTTGTAATTACCGAGTTGGAAGATGGAGTATACTCATGTTCTCTTACGAACCCACAAGTGGGTGCTGACGGATTTATAACGGTGGATGCAAATTGGCCAAGGACGACTATCCCTCTAACGTGGGTACGTGAAACTGATAGAATTGACTATTTGAACACCCACCCAGAATTGCAAGCCACCATGAATGAATGTGGTGTAGTAGCACGCACAAAATCGTCAGATGTGACACCGTAGCTACAAACATAACAACAGCCGAGCTAGTCGGCCCTTGTTGGCCTGCGCTGAGATGTCCCCCAGCGGTTCGGCCCTTCCGGGACAGTGATGTCTCGTCCTCGCCGAGACGAAGTACCCCAAGCCAGTCAATCACGGAAGCCAGCTGAGTTACCTGACTCCGGAATTAGAAATCCCGTGCCCTCCGCCAAAGGACGGACGACGGCCCTCGCGGGCTATTACGGGTCGCCGAGAGCAAAGGCTTCTCGACTCAGCAATCAGTGCCCGGAACGTACGGGAACACCGGCTCGCAGCGGTGGCGAGACTTTTCCTTCGCGCTTGGCGAGACACGCGCCCAACCCGGGTCGACCTTAATCTCTTGGCGCTACCAGTCAACACCCTACAAGCTATGCCTCTCGGATGCTGACAGCAGACATAATCCGGCCCGTGCAGGGGCTAACTGGAAGCGCGTGCACGTGTTGTGGACCTAGAAAATTCTGCTCTGTTGTTTGTTATCTCTGTCGGGCGCCCTGAAGGGGCGTCTCCACTATTCCTAAGCTCCTATACAAATACCAAATGAAAGTGGGCGGTTTTGGATCTCGGCCGACTCTTCACCGAGCTCGGCGACGCTTGAGTTCGGCTAAGCCGGATAACCTGACCGGATAACCCCTTGAACTCGGTTGAGCCGGATACGGCGTGTCCGGATAACCTGGCGAACTCGGCTGAGCCGGATAAGGTGCCGGATAACCCAGTGAACTCGGCGGAGCGACCCGCGAACTCGGTGGGGCGACTCGTGAACTCGGCAGAGCGACCCGTGAACTCGACTGCGCAACTCCCGGACTCAATTGAGCCTGGTTACCGTATCGGACGGTACATGGTGCCGTTTAGCCTGAGCTCGGCGGCTTGAACCCCCCATGATCTCTGCTGAGCGTGTCCAGTGCCTTCCTGAACTCGGCTGGGTCTTCATCACTGGGTCTGCCACGTGTCACCAGGTCGGGGCCGGTGTTCCTTGAGTTTCTGACACCATCAGCCGAGTTCAGCGGTCCATCAGCGCATTCTTGCCCACTGAGCTCGGCGGACGGTCATCCCGCCGAGTAGAACTTGGCTCCTGGTACGTTGTTCCACTGCGGCCTTGGAGTGTGACACAAAACTTGATGTTCCCTACACCACATGAAGCTGCAGTGCCTGCGCAACGAATGCTACCAGTACAAGAAGGAGGCGGCAGCGTTAGCTCTTCCACTACTGCTGTCAACACCAGCGACGTCCAATCGAGAAGTGAAGAGGAAAGTGATGGAAGTGTCCTCTCCAGTTCCCGCGAAGATGATGACAGCGACTACATCCCCCCGACCGACGACGATGACGACGACGACGACTAGGACTAAGAGTAAGCAGATATTTCTTAAATAGTAGCACGGGATCTGCTACCGCAGCTAAATCTTCCGTTTACAGAGCATCTCCACCGGTGCTGAGTAAAACTAAAAGCAAATTGCCCTCAGATCCGTGCTTACAACGGCACAACCGTGCTAAAGACAGTGCGCAGCTCCACCGGCCATTGAGACTCGCAGCGAGCGCGTTAAAGCTCTTGGTTCGGCGCCAGCAATGGGGACGGCGAGTCCTAGCTGTATAGCCCTATAAAGATGAAAACGGGCCCGGCAGCACGTTGAGGAAGACCCAGGGATGACGTAGCAAGGGCGACACTGCGGTCTGTGACGCTTGCGCTGCTTAGAACGCTTGACTTGGCTCTACTACTGGCTGGTTGACATTTACTCAACCTTTTACTCAAAGCCTCCTCCGTTGGCAAACTTGTGCAAAAATTTGATCTGCGTAAAAAATGGAGCAATTTGCTCAGCACTTACTCAAACCGGTGGAGCTGCACAAAACTAAAACTATAATTAAATATTGACAGAAAAGGCGTAAAATTTAGATTTACTCACGACCGGTGGAGATGCTCTTATGTCTGTTAAAAGTCGAGAACTCACGCAGCTCCATAGCCTGCGCTCCAAGGCAATTTTAGGTATTATAGCATGGTACTTTAGTAATATGGTTCTTCAATAAAGTCTTGGAATGTAGAGTGATTTTATTTATATGACGAAGAAGCTGGTCGGGTGCATACTGCGCTACTTATTGTCCGCCAATGTTTCATACTTACTGTTCATCCTGAGCTCCTTGGCTGCATGACAAAAACTCGCACATAATAGCTCGGCAGCGTAGCACTTGACTGTACACAACCACGACGTCATACTGCTGCTTGTAGGTTTGTAGATGCACTGCCCTGTTGTCAAGCTCTCCGCAGCAGCTAACATCTCCGTGTTGCGCTTATCTGCACGCAGAGTGGAGCCGGGGTATTATATCGTTCATCGTGTACCTGTCTGTTGAAGTTGTGAAGAATCTCCTGGAGACACAACTGCACACGGATTTTAACCTGTACCGTTGACACTTCTTGCGCTCTTATCATTGGTGTCGGCTGGGGGTTACTACATACTACCACGATGCTTCCAGGTACAGGCACGGACATACTCGGTGCTTGGCCACAAGTCACATTCATAATGCTGAATAAGTGGGGGGGGCGTCGGTAAGTATTGGGTGAAGCGCAATATTAAGTGTCGCCCCAAATTTAGCAACGAGTACACCGAGGTGCTCTGCTATTGTCCCGGCCAGAATTGAAGGGCCCGGAAATTGTAACACCTCCATATTTTTAGCAATTGCGAGGGATCGCCTGCTCCGTTTGAAGCAAGTGGGGGCTCAAAATACTCACATAAAGCAAAGGGAGCGGACGCATGCAGACGCCGCCTCCGCCGCTGGAAGCCCCACCAAAGAGGACGATTGAGCGGCATGTTTTGAGCCTCGGTGAGAAGCACATGATCGTGTCCGACAAGGAAACCTAGTCCTGTCGACTACTCCAAAAGTAATATGCTTTCTGAAGATCAACCAATTACAGAATGCTATTTCTCGTAACCCTATCGTGACCTAGCTCACTTGAGCTCATGCTTCTTGGCCGATTCAAACCTTCATGTTTGAGCACCTATAACGAAAAAACGGCTACGAATTGGACCGTTTTGACCACATTTTTGGAATCTAACGCGTGTGAATTACCCTTTATCTAACTATCGCATATGGAAAGTCGTAGACATCATGTTCAAATCGAGGCTTCAAATCGGGCCCTTCAACTCTGGCCGGGACAATAGTGTATGGTATGGTACGCGAGGTGTTGGTGCAAAGTAGGTGTCATCTACAAACATGCTTTATTGCCTCACTTATGCTTTGGAGACCACGCCGATGTACGCCTGATATGCACAGAGACAAAGAACTCGATTTCGGATCTAGGAAGAGGACGACGCTGTCGAGGCCGCCGTTGAGTCAGCCGCCGGAGCTTCCGTGACAGGCGCTTCCGTGGACGCAGCACCGGAAGACTCGTTGGACTCGGCGGCGGAAGACTCCGTCGAGGGAGCGGCGGCCGAACCAGCAGCAGAAGCCTCGTCGGAGTTGGCGGCCGACTCCTCGTTCGAGTCGGCAGCGGAGTTCTCGCTCGATGCAGCAGCAGAGTCGTCGTTGGACTCAGCAGCAGAGGACTCGGTCGAAGTGGAGGCAGCGGTCGACTCGGCAGTAGAGGCAGCGGTCGAGGTGGCGGCGGAGGACTCGGTCGAAGAGGCCGGGGCTCTCGTCGTGGTCGACGACTGGCCCGCGCCACCGCTCTTGCAGTCGCCGCTCACAGACTCGTCCAGCAGACCCTCGATCTCCGAGTACACGAGGCCCACCGAGGTGACCGTCGCGTTGTCGGGCTTGCTAGCCGGCAGCCACAGGAAGTCGGGGTGGTTGGCCTTGGAGCCCGAGAGCCACTCGCCGCCCAGAATCTGGTACGTCTCGTCCGTCTCGAGGATGTACTCGTAGTCGGCGCTGGTCGTGTACTTGTCCACGATGCCCGTGGCGACGAGGGGGCCGTTCACGCCGGACTCGACGATCCAGCTGAAGCGCGTGGTGACGACGGCGATCTTGGTGGCGGCGTCGTTGAACGGGTACTTGTCCACGTTGAAATATTTCTTGGCGGCGGCCTTGGGGGTCGTCCACGACAGACGCAGGATCTCGTAGCTGCGCACGGGCTGGTTCCACACCTCGTTGCCGGCCGTGATGTCGACGACGAAGCTGTGGTTAAAGCGGCCCATGATGTTGGTCACGGCGACGTGGAAGTAGCCGGGCGAGATATCACGACGGCGGTCGTCGAAGAAGCGGCCGTACTCGTCCGTGTTGTTGGGCGCGTTGTCGTTGCCGTTGAAGCGCGAGCCCGTGAAGATGGTCGGGTCCATCGAGTGTCCGCCGAATCTCGGCAGCAAGCATCAGAGATGTGCCTCGAGCCAACTTTCGCTGGGAATAGGAAAAAAAAGATGTTCCCGTAACTAATAATAGTATTGTGCAAAATATTTGAAAACCACAATGCTATTGTGGTTTTCAAATATTTTGCCGCCCGATTTGACGTGTTATCTCGGAGTCCGATTTATAGAAAATGGAGCTCCTACATGATCGGTTAGTCCAATTTAGCTATATCTGACCTGAGTTAGTAGCATAAGGCTCCAGCAAAGCGGGCCCGATATATCGGATCTTGGACCACCCGATTTGCCAAAACGGATGAAAGCCACAATACTATGAAGAGCCCGTCATAGATTTGAAGCTAAATTTGGGGAGCCCTGGAGGGGAGCCAATGGGGAGCCCGAACCAGGGCTTCTTGACCTCGTACTTACCATGAGGGAGCCCGTTTTGTGCGACTTTTGGCTCTCGTATTAGGGGGAGCCCACTTTTGAAGTTGACGGGCTCGGGCTCGTAGAAGGTGTGCTTTGAAGTGAAAAAGAGCATCTCATGATCATGATCATGTTTGTACCTAAGTTAAGGGAAAAGGTTTACCGATACAGTAGTTGGGCAGCATGATGGAATCTTCATTATCAGCAACGACCCAGACCCCGCAATACAACAATAAGCCCCTAAGTAGTTGCGGCAACGGATTTGCTGGAATGCTGGTTGCTGGGCCCAAATGCTTTACCTACACTCCTCGCAACCGCTCACTATCGATAGATTAGATACGAAGACCGAGGTGCGTCGCTACTACATGCAGCTTACGAGCTTCAGAGACTGCATACGTACAACATAGTAATGCGTTAATTAAATAGCGTATTGATGAACACGGTGGTCTGCGTGGCACGTATTTTCGCATGTAGAGCAATACACCCCATGCTGCAAGGGGTAGGTACCCTTGCGGAGTTGATGCTTCAACGCAAACTCTATTTTTAGAATCATTTTCCAACAAATGGATGCAGTGCGAGTGGGGGGAAGAGTACACTTAAGTCTTGGCAGGTCGCGCGCACTGCTAGCCCCTTGTTGGCAGCTGAGAGGTGCTGAAAGTCGTGTACTTGCTGTCTGCAGAGCTGTAGGCGTAGCAGAGTTGATCTCAGCACGGAGGTGCGGGCAGAAGACGAACGGAAGGTAGGAGACTGAGATTGCCTTGGCAGAATGCCGTGGCGGGAACAACCAAGGCGGCGGAGCTGGTTGTGCTCCTGCTGGAGAATGCGGACGTGAGTGCCGAGCTGCTGCGCAGCTCGGCGCCGCCGCCTTGGGACCCTTGCTCGTGTTGAAGGAGTTTCCTAACCGACCTATGCTTTGCTATGCTGGTAGGTGCTGTTGCTGCTGCTGAAGCTGCTAATGTGCTGCGTCTGTCAGTTGCTAACCGCTGCCGCGCGGGGCAACGAGAGGTAGCGACCTCCCACAGTCGCAGCGGTTTCTGTGCTGGCGAGCTTCGCCTGCGACCGCGTGCCGTCTTTCCGCGCTGCGGAGCACTGCTTGGTGGCGCTGGTACCGCTGGTACCTCACAGCAGCATCAGACGCCCCTTTCCATTTGCGAATATCGCAAGAGCTCTTGACGGTAGAATGCTAGGCGAAGCTCAGAGCATTAGATGGTACAGTGGCTTTCGGGAACGCACCCGTATCCAGCACAGAACGGGGGCGGGTGCGCTCACTTGGTAGGATGCAGTCCATAGTGGCTTCCGCACCAGACTCAACATGCGGCTTGTACTCCGGCGCGGAGGGCGTTAGTGTGGCGCGGCGATGCTGGTGCCACACTAACGCATTACGCGCCCATTCGATCCTGACCCATAATTTTGAAAAATATATGTCAGTATTCTAAAGTAATGACATGTATATCTCAACATGCGATTCGCATTCTGAGCACTGATTGGTAGGGTGCATTTCTCAAGTGGCCACAATGTAGCCGCTACATGCGAAATACGGTATCCATGCATGCAGGCTGAATCACACTCTCATTTAGCAATTCTACCCTTGCCCCATCATCGCTAACGCAAGAAGGAACCAGCTGAGTATCCATTTAGCTAAAACAATGCAGTTTTACGCCAAATCCACTTTCCAGAGCCCACAGCCCATATATACCCTATTTGGAAGGGGCCTCCTAAAAGACGGGCCTCAGTTTAATGGCTTTCGCACCCTTTGCTGGAGGCTAAACCCCTCGGATCCGTCGGACAGTGAGCCTGAAAGGATCTTATACAGAGGTAAAATGCAGCATTTTTGCCCCTGGGAGAGGCAACCATTAAACCTTTCCCTAGCCCTATCCATAAAATCATCGAAAGAAAGTAAATCAGAGCGATAAAACAGAGCGATTTCATTATAGGGGGGGCTTCGCCCCAACAAGCTTGTCATCACATTTCGTCACACACGAGTTTATAATGAGCCGCCTCACGCGCTCGTACTCACGTGCCGAATCGATTCGGTCAGCGTAGCCTTGCGTGACGAAACGAGCAAAGCACCAGGAGCTGCCAAGTCTTGCAATAGACGCCACAACTCCTTCGCCGTTGGTCGGTCTTCGGGGTCGTAGCTCAGGCACATTCTCGCCAGGTCCAGGATCGCTCGCGGACAGTCCGAGTGGAAGGCAGGAGTCACTCCCTTCTCGCTCACCGCCAATGCTAGCGCTGCGTTGGACGACAACAAACTCTTGAGCTCCTCGTCTGTGGCACTCGAAGAGGACACAAACGAAGTCATCCCCGAGGCGGAGAGCGAGCTGGCAACGCCCAAAGTGTACGGTTTGGTGCACGTGTCCAGCTCGCACATGACGATGCCAAACGAGTAAATGTCCGCCTTCTGGTCGTAGCGCGCGCCTTTGATCACCTCGGGCGCGATCCACGCTGCAGTACCGACCTCTGCCGTTTGCGGGCCGCCAGAGGACACCCCTCGCTTGTCGTCTCTCTGCTTCCGCCGCTTGCTGACTCCGAAGTCGCTGATCTTGGCCACCCACTTGTTGCTCAGCAGCACGTTCTGCGCCTTCAAGTCGCGGTGCATGATGGGTTCTGCAAACGAGTGAAGGTACACCAAGGCGTCTGCAATGTCCAACGCCACGGTCAGCTTGCTGTGCGCGAAGCCCGAGTCTTCCTCGGTAGTCCAGTTCCAGCCTCGACGCTGGCTGTCGAGCATCCGTTGTCTCTCCAGGAACTGGGCCAAGTCCCCATTGGGCATGTACTCGATCACAAGCGACAGATCTGCTAGTGACGACCAGGAAATGCCACGGAACGCGACGATCTTGGGGTGGTTCAGACTGGCATACAGGCGGATTTCTCGCGTAAAGCGCTGAAGCTCGCGCACGCTTTTCGCCTTCTCGGGCGCCACCTGCTTCATCACAATTTTCTCCTTCCTAGACCTCCACATTGCCAGATTCACGACACCACCAGCTCCCTTGGACAGTTGCTTCACAAACTCGAGGTCGCTTTGAGCTATGCGGTATCGCTCGAAGTCCGGGTCGCTGCGTACATCGTCTGTGAGAATCGCCGAGCTCTTCATCAGTTTATCACTGTCGTCATCGCTGCTGCCGTCGTTTGCAGCTCGATCAGCCTTCAGTTTCTCGGCGCGTGCTGCCTTCGTCCGACGCTCGTCGATAACTTTGCGCTTGATAACGAAGAGCATCAACAGTACGAACACTGCCGACGCTAGCGAAAACAACAGCAGTGACAATGTCGTGAGAGACATCGACGACGACGCCTTTTTGTGGTGGTATTTCTCGTCGAAAGCTGTGTCTGCAGATCAAGAAAGACAACGTAAGCTTTAAAGGTTGAGCGTCCAAACGGTGAACAACGGATCGGCACCTGTTAGTACGCACAGGGTGTACGTCTCGTTCGCAATTGTCACTGTCTTTGGTGTGGCTGCATCGGAGCATGCATCCTCCGGAAGCGTAATTGCTGTGACGTTGAAGGTTTCAAGCCGCTCCAGAACTTCCACATCGGACTTGCACACCTCAAACTTTGTCACGCTGCTCCCGTTCAGTAGCCTGTTCACACACAGTAAAGTTAGATTTTGTAATCCAGTGAAGAAATTCGTTAGCTGGTCCGTTGCAGAAACAACTTGGAAACCTACAGAGTTTGGAGATTGCGCGGAAAGCGGACACCCTGTATAGTAGTAATATTGTTTCCTGATAGATCTCTGTAAGACAAGCATGTCAGACAAATATCAAGTAGAACACGACCATCGTGTCACAAAGACCTACATGGTAAACGATCGCTCACATGCGGTGAAGTTTGCGGGCCCAAAAAGCTCAATCGAACTGTCTTGCACAACACTTTCAACAGCAGAGGGGACACCGTTACGAAGCTGACCTCCTTGACTGCGAAAACTCTCAACTACTTACAGCTTGGACAAATCCGTGGGCGGTGTAAAGTTGCCCCAGTTTCCAATCGTCGTCAACGACAAGTCCCTTCAAGCCACACCAACACCACAACACCACCCCATTAGCCTTCTAGCATACTTACTCAGTGCAACATCACTCTTACAGTTGCCGTACTGAGTCCGGGAACGCCGCCTTGTCCAGGGACTTCAGACTGGTGTTCCTCGCGATGAGGATCCTCGGTCCGTCCTTCCCCGCCGCCGAAATATTGGCTATGGGATTGTCGGACACATCTCTACATCACCAACAACAATGATTCAGCGGCTCAATTCCCAGCGCCCTCCACGCTATATTGAGCTGTTGAACTCACAGTAGCTCGAGCTGCCCCCAGCTCTCGGGGATCTCGAGGGTCGTCAACTGGTTCTCGCCTAGGTACCTGCAAGCAACAGCACCATCACCAATGTCAGCAGCTCCCACTGAACAGCAACTGCCCTCCAAGTGTCGTACAGCTGCCGCAGCGTCTCTGGGAGCAGCAGAGCGCTCGCGTCGGCGACGCTATTGTCCGTGAGGTTCCTGCGGCATTTCATCAGTCGTAAGTCACTCAATTCTGGGGCCTTGAACGCCGTTCCAACGCGGTTGTAGAGCTTACGTACAGCTCTGTCAGCGTGGAGTTTTGTAGCTCCACAGCCTGGATATTGAGGCCGGAAAGCGTCGAAGTCTCCACCTCGGACACTTGGGAGCAGCTTTCCGCGTCGCTCTCGGGCCGCAGACGCCGCCGCCGACGCGCCGAAGAGGCCAGGAAGAGCGTGGAGGGGGAGGCGGACGAGGTGCCACCGCAGTCCGCGAGCAGCGTGGGCACCGACGGACACTCGCGCGGGCACGAGACGGTCGCCATGAAGCTCGGGAAGGGGTCAAGTGGGCGAGGTCCTGATGTGAGACTGTACCCATTTCTCTGATGGATTGGGTGACAAAATGATGTGGTGCACACCTCGAGCAACTCAAGCACTTCAAGTGCTTGCCTTTTAGCCGGAGGCAAGAGCTGGTCCAGCAGCCCATTGCAGTACAGTGTAGTGTTACCTCGCTGCTCTGTGAGCTCGCATCTTGAAGATAAGCTTAGGTATGTACGGTGTATTCAATTCACTATTCACTACAACGCATCGGACCGAGACTCCGTGAACTCCACGAGTTTGACACTAGCGATGCCGAGGTGCTTCGTTCAGCTGCTGTTGGCAGCGCCAAGAACTACATGTGCATGCATGTAGCGGTGGCCAATGATCCTCCGAGGACCAAGCTGCAGGCTTGGCACTACAGTATGTACACGTAGCTACCGGCGGTGCAGTGCGCAATCGCCGCCAATCGAGTTAAATGGCATCCGGGCTTGAGAGGGGAGGAATCTTCCCGGACTCCGGGCCGGAGGGGAGGTCCAGCTCTGAAGACCGCGCTCAGTGCCGCCGCGCTGACGCAGATCGACGTGGCGCTCGACAAACGCGAGTCCGGTGCACTGACGGGGCCTGGAGCATGTGCACAGATGCTGTTCCCCAACTTCGACGTTGAAGCGCCGCAGCGATGGTGACGCTGTACACACCAACTTCCTCCAAACAGCCGCCCATTTCCGCGACGCCCGCGCTGCCATCTGCATTAAAGAACTAACAGCAACACCTCCCACGAGAGCTCTGCAGTGCACGTACCAAGGCTGGAGTCTCCTCCACACCCGAGCCATTCTGCATCGGAGCCCGTTCCGGTGCCTTGTCTCTGCATTGGTCGAAGTTGACGGCGCCTTCGCTTTAGACTGGTCTTTGTTTTGCGCACAGGTGGCCGCGCCTTCAACACCGGGAGAGCTCTGCGTGCGTCAGATCATGGGCGGGCGCGTACTGTACAACAGCAAGCTCTGCTTCTGCTTCGAGAGTGAGCTACCTCATTCCGAGTTTGGCTCTGCACCTCTCAAGTCCTCCTCCACCACCGCTCCGCACCATGAAGCTCTCCAAGTTCGCCAAGCACGCGCTGACGTTCTCCGGTCCGTCGCCAATCCAGCACCTGGAGCGTCTGTCCAAGGCGCTGGGCAACAAGGTGCAGCTCTACGCCAAGCGCGAGGACTGCAACTCGGGCCTGGCGTTCGGCGGCAACAAGACGCGCAAGCTCGAGTACATCATCCCGGAGGCCATCGAGGGCGGCTACGACACGCTCGTGTCCATCGGCGGCATCCAGTCCAACCAGACGCGCCAGGTAGCCGCCGTGGCCGCGCACCTCGGCTTCAAGTGCGTGCTGGTGCAGGAGAACTGGGTCAACTACCCGCCCGAGGAGGCCCCGGTGTACGACAACGTGGGCAACATCGAGCTGTCCCGCATCCTGGGCGCCGACGTGCGTCGCGACGCCGCGGGCTTCGACATCGGCATCCGCCCGAGCTGGGAGGCCGCCATGGAGAGCGTCAAGAAGGCCGGCGGCAAGCCGTACCCCATTCCGGCGGGCTGCTCGGAGCACCCCAAGGGCGGCCTGGGCTTCGTGGACTTCGCCGAGGAGGTCCGTCAGCAGGAGAAGGAGCTCGGCTTCAAGTTCGACTACATCGTCGTGTGCGCCGTGACGGGCAGCACCATGGCCGGCATGGTGGTGGGCTTCGCTGCGGACGGACGGGCCAACAAGGTCATCGGCATCGACGCGTCGGCCACGCCCGAGAAGACCCGCGAGCAGGTGCTGCGCATCGCCAAGAACACGGCCGAGCTGGTGGAGCTCGGCCGCGACATCACGTCGGACGACGTCGTGCTGGACACGCGCTTCGGCGGGCCCGAGTACGGCCTGCCCAACCAGGGCACGCTGGACGCCATCCGGCTATGCGCGCGCACCGAGGGCATGCTCACGGACCCCGTGTACGAGGGCAAGTCCATGGACGGCATGATCTCCATGGTGCGCAACGGCGAGTTCCCCGAAGGATCCAATGTACTCTACGCCCACCTCGGCGGCGCGCCGGCGCTCAGCGCGTACAGCTACCTCTTCAAGGAGGGCTAAGCCGTAGTTGTGGTGAAAACCATGCAGAGCGTGGCCATCCGGATCGCTATGTACTAGAACCTTCTCACAAGCCGGGGAAGTGCCTATGCTTAGGACTTTGATCGTGTTGAGTAGAGACGTTAGGAAAAAAAAGTAGCTGCCATTTTTCAAATTCACAGCACTGCTGCAGTGAGCTATGAAAAGCTTAACCTGAAAAACTTTCAGGTTAAGCTGCCTTGCAGTTCAGTGAAAATCAAGCACTTGAAGTGCTTGAGTTGCTCGAGGTGTGCACCACATCATTTTGTCACCCAATCCATCAGAGAAATGGGTACAGTCTCACATCAGGACCTCGCCCACTTGACCCCTTCCCGAGCTTCATGGCGACCGTCTCGTGCCCGCGCGAGTGTCCGTCGGTGCCCACGCTGCTCGCGGACTGCGGTGGCACCTCGTCCGCCTCCCCCTCCACGCTCTTCCTGGCCTCTTCGGCGCGTCGGCGGCGGCGTCTGCGGCCCGAGAGCGACGCGGAAAGCTGCTCCCAAGTGTCCGAGGTGGAGACTTCGACGCTTTCCGGCCTCAATATCCAGGCTGTGGAGCTACAAAACTCCACGCTGACAGAGCTGTACGTAAGCTCTACAACCGCGTTGGAACGGCGTTCAAGGCCCCAGAATTGAGTGACTTACGACTGATGAAATGCCGCAGGAACCTCACGGACAATAGCGTCGCCGACGCGAGCGCTCTGCTGCTCCCAGAGACGCTGCGGCAGCTGTACGACACTTGGAGGGCAGTTGCTGTTCAGTGGGAGCTGCTGACATTGGTGATGGTGCTGTTGCTTGCAGGTACCTAGGCGAGAACCAGTTGACGACCCTCGAGATCCCCGAGAGCTGGGGGCAGCTCGAGCTACTGTGAGTTCAACAGCTCAATATAGCGTGGAGGGCGCTGGGAATTGAGCCGCTGAATCATTGTTGTTGGTGATGTAGAGATGTGTCCGACAATCCCATAGCCAATATTTCGGCGGCGGGGAAGGACGGACCGAGGATCCTCATCGCGAGGAACACCAGTCTGAAGTCCCTGGACAAGGCGGCGTTCCCGGACTCAGTACGGCAACTGTAAGAGTGATGTTGCACTGAGTAAGTATGCTAGAAGGCTAATGGGGTGGTGTTGTGGTGTTGGTGTGGCTTGAAGGGACTTGTCGTTGACGACGATTGGAAACTGGGGCAACTTTACACCGCCCACGGATTTGTCCAAGCTGTAAGTAGTTGAGAGTTTTCGCAGTCAAGGAGGTCAGCTTCGTAACGGTGTCCCCTCTGCTGTTGAAAGTGTTGTGCAAGACAGTTCGATTGAGCTTTTTGGGCCCGCAAACTTCACCGCATGTGAGCGATCGTTTACCATGTAGGTCTTTGTGACACGATGGTCGTGTTCTACTTGATATTTGTCTGACATGCTTGTCTTACAGAGATCTATCAGGAAACAATATTACTACTATACAGGGTGTCCGCTTTCCGCGCAATCTCCAAACTCTGTAGGTTTCCAAGTTGTTTCTGCAACGGACCAGCTAACGAATTTCTTCACTGGATTACAAAATCTAACTTTACTGTGTGTGAACAGGCTACTGAACGGGAGCAGCGTGACAAAGTTTGAGGTGTGCAAGTCCGATGTGGAAGTTCTGGAGCGGCTTGAAACCTTCAACGTCACAGCAATTACGCTTCCGGAGGATGCATGCTCCGATGCAGCCACACCAAAGACAGTGACAATTGCGAACGAGACGTACACCCTGTGCGTACTAACAGGTGCCGATCCGTTGTTCACCGTTTGGACGCTCAACCTTTAAAGCTTACGTTGTCTTTCTTGATCTGCAGACACAGCTTTCGACGAGAAATACCACCACAAAAAGGCGTCGTCGTCGATGTCTCTCACGACATTGTCACTGCTGTTGTTTTCGCTAGCGTCGGCAGTGTTCGTACTGTTGATGCTCTTCGTTATCAAGCGCAAAGTTA